CAGGTCACTTTTGTGGCCACCTGTTGTGTCCTTGGTACCCCTCCCCCGTTCTTTTTCCTCATGCCACGTGAACCTGCAGATCTGCACTGGCTTATTCTACCATTTTAAAAATGGGTAGTGTTTGTATGAAAATTAGAAACAAATGAACAGATGGCTTTCTGTCAAGCAAAGAAGTGTTAGTTCTTCAGATATATTCTGATCCTGAGCAGAAAGCAGCAGCAGAAGATAGAAATAAGTGGAAACACTGGCACATGTGCCCTGTTGCTGCCCAAGGTTCTCTACATTGCAGTGCCTCTTATATTTTATTTATAAAATAAAATATTTATTTATATTCCATCAGAGTCAGCATATGTCAACAATTTAGCAGAATACGTTTTTGACTAATATCACTGAGCGTTTCTTTTCAACCTTTGCAACCAAGAAGGAATCTAAACTCAACCCTAACAGAGCTACTGTTTCATCATGCATCTTTCACTCTCGTGATGGAGATATTTACCACTCACCAGATCTCCACATATTTATTTATTTATTAAAGTAATGTCTACGCCCAACATGGGGCTCAAACTCAACAACCCCAAATTGAAGAGTTGCATGCTTTACGGACTGAGCCAGCCAGGTGCCCCACCAGAGCTCTGTTTATCCTCCGTGTTTCTCAACCCCTTATTGAGGCAGAGCCATCATGATTAGTTCAGTCCAGTGAGTGGTAAGAGGAGGTAAATGTGTGTCACTTCTGTGTTAGAGCATTTAAGAGCTGGTGTGCAGCCCTCTCATGTCTTCCTCCCTGCTCCTGTAATCTTGGAGGCCATGAGTTGAGCCACAGAAGAATATTCAGATCGTGGGAGAGAGTTGGCCTGGAGCATTATCCTACTCACATCAGGATTTGTATGAGCAGGATAGAAACCTTTATTGTGCAAAGTCTCTGAGACTTAAGTTTGACTCTTCTGACTAATCCAGTCCTTTATCCTTTCACCCATTTGTATCCTATTTTTATGGCTTTGAATCAGGTTGAGGTGCTTTGGACAAGACTAGCTAATTTCTGCTAAGCCGGCTCAACCCGGTCTGCTAATCCTCAGCAATAGCCTGGAGTATCAGGTTTGGGAATCAAAGGGGAAAATTCTTACTGTCTCCCTTACCTAGATTCTCTTGTCAACTGGACACCATATGTTTTGACTAGGCCTTTGTTAATTGTCCTTAATTCATATATTTTGAAGTGTGTTTCCTTAGCAAGAAGCATAGTGTTCTCCAAAAGGGAATTTGGCAAAAGCCCCAAGAAAGGAAGATCTTTCTCTCATCTGTCCAAGCATCAGTGACTTTGGTTCGCTGTAACTTTTGGCTACTTACAAATAAGTAGTGATAATGAGCTGCTTCTAAATGTGTTAGGGAATAGAAATCGTTTAGTAGCCTGTTAGATTAAATGATTTCATGTTGGCAACTGCTCTCCTGTTTAAAGACTGCTTGGCTAGTGGATCTTTTCCCAACAGTACTGGCAATTCTGAATGTCCTAAATAGTTGAAATCTTGTTATCATGCACAAGTGCACTGAATTACATAAACTGTTCAAAACCACATAGAGCAGATTGGCAGAGGAGGTGGAGAACAATGTTACTATTGTTCATTTGAGAGCTGAGTAGGCTAATGATAGCCAGTGAGGTCAAGGTTAGCCTTCAGATATGCTATTCAGGATTCCAGCAACTTCAAGCATCTCGATGTTTCACTTATCTGACAAAGTCTATCAAAAGATGAAAAATAACCAAGTGATACTTACACTAGAATATGTTTCAAAGGTTAATGAGTAGTATATCCTGGTCTAACAACCCAGGGAAGATTTTATCTTGACTTTATTGCTTAATGAAACATGGGTTCTTACATCACTCGAGAAAAGCACACCTTGGCAATATTTTCTTCCTGAAATTTTAAGTCTGCATGAACTTACCAATCTAACTTCAGAGCTAGGGGTGTCATATAACTTGCACATAAATATGCCAACAGCCGGACACGTATTATATGCAGACTAAGTGCATTGTATGCACATCTATTTATCTGGGTTATCAACCGATAAAAGCTAATTTTTTCGATAGCCGAACAAGTGTCTATCTTGAGTTCCTCATTAAATGATTTACTCAACTTATTTTGTGATGCCAACGTACACCCTATTCTCTATTAGGCTAGCCCTTAAATATAGTTCTTAACCAAATTAAGGTTGTCAGGTGTTGCCAGCCATGATCTCAACATTTCACACCTAACTGAGAGGTTCTGGAAAGTGGCGTAAGCAAGCCTGATAGGAATAATGGAGTAGAGAACAGAGACAGAACAGTAGTTGAGTACATTTCAATTTGGTCAAAAAGCTGAATACACTGAATAAAATATGTGCTTAGTAGGTATTTCTAGTAAACTGAAAGTTGCCATTGGTGAAATACCACCTCTCAAGGAGTCCCAAAGCCTTTATGTTTAAAACTGTCTTTGGCCAGAGTTGAGACCTAACACCAGTTCTCAGGGTCTATAAAGAGTTAGCATAGGGGTGTCTGAGTGGCTCAGTTGGTTAAGTGTCCTACTCTTGATTTCGGCTCAGGGCATGACCTCAGAGTCATGGGATTGAGCACCATGTTGGGCTGTAGGCTCCGGGTGGAGTCTGCTTGTGCTTCTCCTACCCCCATTATCTGTCCTACCCGCCCCACCCCGCCAGCTCTAGCGTACCTGTGTTCGAGCTTGCGCTCTCTCGCTCTCAAATAAATAAATAAATAAAATCTTAAAAAAAAAAGAGTTGGTATATGGTTGAGAGGCTTGTCCACTTTCTGGCTATGTGATGCTAGGCACTTAAAATCTGTTGGCCTCAGCTTTCTCATGTTTTAGTGGTGATAATAATAGTTACCTGTCTTAGAGGGTGATAGTGAGGAATCAGTGAATGAATATATATGAAGTACTTGGAACACTGTCTGGTGCGTAATAAAAGCTGCATCAGTGTTTGCTGATATTATCTTAGGGATGTCACAGCCACTCTATATAAGTTATCAAATACTAAGACTGTGTCAAATAATATTCTTAACAAAAGCTGTGTTAAAGTAATTTAATCTTTTTGATCTGGAATAAAAATGATCACTTCTACCTGCTGTGTGTTCATTTAAAATGACTATCCAATTTTATGTGCCTCATGGACTAGGCCCTAAGTTGCTTTTAAAAAAATAAATCCCAGATGGCATTTATCTCTCATAAAATAAAGTCTAGGAAAAAAGCATAGCCGTTTTAATTTTATAACAAACAAAAAAACACAAAAGTCACGATGATGGGTAAATGGGGCATTATTTTTATAACTGAGTACCGCCATTTTCTCCTAATCATCTCATTCTTTGGCCAATAATTTCCCAATTCTGTTGGAACGAAATTAGCTTTTAAGTGTTCAGGGCTGGAACTTCACTTTCATTGACATTTAACTATTGAGTTAATATGTGGAAAGACTATAAAAGACAGGAGATTAGTTTTTTTAATATTGCTTTTAGTATTACTGGAATGATGAACATGTTCTTTGATAACAGGTGTGAGCAAATGTTTTTTTGTAAAGGGCCAAATAGTAAACATTTGGGTCGTATAGAAATACATGAAAGGCCGTGCAGCATCTGTCACAGCTCCTTGACACTGAAACACACAGAAGCAGACATGGACAACAAAGAACTGAATGAACGTGGCTGTTAGCCAGCAACACCGAACTGAGGAAAACAGACAGCAGGCCCGATCTGGTCCATGGACCACAGTTTGCTGACACTTGTTCTATGCAGTTCTTTCTTGTTTTGTTTTTGTTTTTGTTTTTTTTTAATTTTTACCAGGGTAAAAGATGCATGCATGCATGTGTACGTGCATACTTAGACACATACACGGACATGTACTTCAAAATCATGAAGATGAAGTGCAAAACATGCGTATTACGTAATTTAAGGAAAATAAATTCAGATCGACTCTTTTGATCTGAACAAGGTGCAGAGCTGCTCTACCATTCTATTTTTGCTCTAAAATCAACCTTTTAATCAAAGCTACCCTTAAAAATTCTTTCAGTAGTCTGAAGTTATTGTGTATAGAACTCTGTATAATAATGTTATATATAGTCTAAATTTGAGAACCACTGAGCCTAACTAAAGCTGGGGGGTGGGGGGTGGGAAGAGCTGTGTTCAGACATGTGGGCAGTGCAAACTTTTTTTCTTAAAATAACTCAAATTATGTGAGGGATTGGAGAATTCTATTGTGTTCCTTCCCGCCTGCAGCATTTTCTTTTTTCTTTTTTTTTTTTAATGTTAAGCCTTTCTAACTTTAATATGCATTAACAGACTTGTTTGCTGCTACATATTCTATGTGAATGCTCACAGATTAAGTGAACTATTACATGTAAAAGCACTTAATACAGAACCTGGCCCAGTCAATGTTTGTTATGTTGGAATCAAACCCTGTCTATTCATATCCCTATACATATTGTTCTTTGAAGGGTGATAGAGAAGAAATGAGCCAACTGCTTCTTGTCTTTCCATGTTTACATTTTCCTATTGGATCTTGAAGAAGAATTAATAGCTATCAAAATTTCAGTCTTAAGGCCCTTTACTTGGAGAGCGATATCTTCCTTGAGGATATATAATGGATGAATGTACTCTCTTGTGAGAGAATACAGTTGCCTGCTATTTATTAGCTGAAAACAATTTAAACAATTTAAAATTGTATTTTTCCTTGGATATAATACTTATGAAGCTTCACTAGAGTAAAGCTAAAAAGTGAGAAAAAGTATGCAACTGTTAACATTTTCATTTCTCTATTCCAAACACCTGAAAGAGCACTTTGCTGGTTGTAAATGCTCAGTGTATGACTATAGAGAACCATTATGAAATTCATCTCATGGCCTCATAGTTACCCAATAGAAAAAGAGAAAGCCACGAGTTGTATTTGGTATTGATCTACATGATGTAATAGATTTATATGGATCACAGATTAAATGATTGATTTCCTAAATTCTTTTTTTTTTTACAGAAAGAAGCCACAACATATTATTAACCCTTTGAGAATACAACATAACGAATTTTGCCATTTTACTACTTCCTTGAATAGGTAAGACCCTGTCCTCTCTACCCTAAGAGAGTTATCCACAGTTGTGAAAAATAACTCTCTGTCGACCACATTTTTAAAAAATCTTTATGAAATAAATATCAATTTGTTTTGATAACGGACAAATATATATGAATTCTATAGCTAATAGATTTAGGATTATAAAATAGCACTTCATAATGTTTTGAATGATTTAATAGTAAAAGAGTGAAAAGATCTTTTTCACTCTTTTAATGAGAACTGAAAACTATGAAATGAGAACTGAACTAAACCTGTTTCTCCTGCTGTGGGTAAAAACACCAGCAGTATTTTCTCAACACTTACTATGTGCCAGATATGACTTGCATGACTTACTTTACGTAACTAACCCCTGTATCCTTATAAGAACTCTGGGAGGAAATACTCGGATCATCCCCATTATACAGATTAGGGGTTTGAGGCAGAGAGAGGAAGCCAGTGGATGTAAGGAGTTCAGCCAAGGTTTTATACATAGGTCTGAGAGTAGAAGGCACTGGGAGAACACCAGCCCCAGCTATTATTATGAGAGTAACTTCATGTTGTTGTAGAAATGCCTAGCTTTCAGATTCTCCTATGTTTTGAATTGGTTCTGTCCAAATTTCTGGAAGAAAAAAACCAAACAAACAAACATAATGGATGTACCAAAAGAGTCATGGCAGGCAACATTTATTTTATGTTTGTACTTATTACTGTACAACTGTTGCATGAGTAAATAAAGGAATGTATATACTTTAGCACAGTTTACAAACAGAAAGAACTTTTTCTTTTATTTTATATCCTCCTTTAAACTCAAAATTCCTATGTTAAAGCAGAATAATAGGACAGAAAGAATACAAATGAATGACTTTTTATTCTACGAAATGAAGAATGTATTTTAATTTAATTCTTTTTATTAGAAGAACTGAATATCCAATCTTAACTTGGCCACAGCAATATATGCTTTACTGTTTTTATTATTTATCACCTTATTTTTAAGCCAGAAAGTTAACAAAATTTTCAAAGAGAAATATAGAAAATATTATAATAAATACTGAAGATCAGTCACATGGATTAAACAAGTGCTGATATTAAACTTTGTTCAGATCTTTTCTGACAAAATAAATCATCATAGAGAGAAGAAAAGTTCATCTTGCTCCTTTTCCTTTCTTTCTGAAAGGTGTCACAATCCTGAAGGTGATATAACCTTCCTATGTGTGTTCTAATATTTTAATGGTGTGTGTGAAACAACATGCCATATATTTATTCACATTTTAAAAGTTTATATAAATGGTACCATACTATAGACATTCTTTTGCCTTCACCCAACATTATATTTAGAGATGCAGCCATATTGATACATGAAGATCTGGTTGACTCACTTTGTCATAAAGTTGACTCATTGTAATGTTTCAGTCATCTGGTGCTTAGTATTATTAATTACTGCTTCCAAATAACTTTTAACATTTTGAAGATTTAATGCTAAAATGGTTTAACTATGGCTTTCAAGACATCTTTGTCATTTGTGTATAAAAATCCGAAGTTCTTAATATGTGATACTCTACCAATTCTGTTTATGTTTTAGTTTTTTTTCCTATTAGAAAAGTATTTCTTTTACTAGCTATAAGGATCTTGCTAACTAATGGGACTTGTGGGTTTTTTAAACTGCTTTTGCTGTAATACAATAAGTGAAATCTGTTTTATTTACCCATGGATGAAATGCTGACTATTCCCAAATGCAATGTAAATACTGCCTTCGAAATTACAAGATATAAAAACACTCTCATTTGGCCCATGTCGATTGCTTAGATTTCCTTCAAAAATCATGAGGGAAACTTAAAGAAAAAGGATTTTCTCTAATTTTCTCCAAAATTCTAGTTAATTCTAGCATTTCTTTAAGGTAAAAGAAATATCAATATGCATTAGTAAGATTTATAGACATAGAATCTTTTATAACTTATTTTCTTAAGGGAGTAGATGACTCCTCCAGCTCAGTTGGGGAAGAAAGTAGAGATAAACTAGCCTTTGGTGGGCATATCTGAGTAAATGCAAGACTGTGTAAGCCTCCCAGGTCAAAAGTGCAGTGCATATTTGCAGATGGGGAAATTGAGGTCCACTTATGTCAGGCAACTTAATCAAGATCACATAGTGATTGCAGAGCTAGATTCAAACTCTTTTCTCTTGAATTCCAAAACTATACTGTCTACAAGAAAAAGAATCGAGAAAACCTACCTAACCTGTTTGACACAGAAATAGCAGTTTCATTTATTCCACTAATATTTACTGGGATCCTTTTATGTGACTTAAAGGGACTGATCTTAGAAAAGCAAGGAAGAGGGGTGCTTGGGTGGCTCAATCAGTTAAGCATCTGACTCTTGATTTCAGCTCAGGTCATGATCTCAGGGTTGTGAGATCAAGCTCTGCTTTGGGCTCTGCGTTCAGCGGGGAGTCTGCTTGAGATTCCCTCTCTCTCTACTTCTTCCCTCTCCCCATTCACTCTCTTCTCTCAAATAAAAAATAAAGATAAATAAAGAAAAAGAAGGAGCACCTGTGTGGCTCTGTCAGTTAAGTGTTTGCCTTCGGCTCAGGTCATGATCCTCAGGTCCTGGGATTGAGCCCCGCATCTGGGCTCCCTGCTCCGAGGGAAGCCTGCTTCTCCCTCTCCCTCTGCCTGCCGCTCCCCCTGCTCAAGCTTACTCTCTCTCAGTCACTCTCTCTCGCTTGCTCTTTCTCTCTTTCAAAGTAAATTTTAAAAAAAGAATGAAAAAGAAAGAAAAGAAAAAAGAAAAACAAGGAAGACACAATATCAATCCAGAGAGAGAAAACAGGTTGTTTGGAAATGGCAAAGATTCCTTGAGTAATACCATGAAAGTGACTATTTAATTAGATATCTCTATCTTGCTATGCTATCTTAACATTGTTTACCAAGTAATTACCTTTCTGGTCACCTAACCATGCCAATTAGATTAAACTGAATGGGATAATAGGAGTAAAGATGCTTTGTAAATGACATAATCTTTGTAGTCATTTGCTGTTATTACTAATTATTCTATAAATTTAGAAGTGAATATTTCAAACCTAATACATGTAATTCTAAATGTAGAGCTTGGTGTATGTATCTGAAGTTCAAGAGTCTTACTACTTCATGTAATAACATCTCTTTGACACAAAAGCCCCGTGTAAACACTACAATGAGATGAACAACCCTGACAATTGGTTGATTTTCAGCCTCTACTACCCATTAGAGGTATATTTTTTTACCCCCTTAAGCCTCATAGCAGATAATAACAGGACCAAGCTGGTTCCTGTCCAGAATGTGATCACTTCTCATTATCTCTACTTGTGTCATTCAAGTCCACTCTCATCTTGACCAGTGCGGTAGCCTCCTGCGCCCAGTCTTGCTCTCCTATAGTCTGTTGTTCACAGAATGTGACCTTTTTATAAATCTTAATCAACTGATATGACTCCTCTTTTCAAAATCCACCAATGGCTGCCCATAATATTCAGAATAAGTCCTAGGCTCCTACTGTTGCCAGCAAGGTGCTCTACAAGCTGACATCTTTTACCTCCCTGACATCATCTCAACATCCTTTCCCCCCACTGAGGACAGAGACTGGTGACATTCTGAGCTGTGTCTAGAACAGTGTCTCCATCTTGGTGGACCCTCACTTGCTAAAGGACTGAATAGGTATGCAGGGTTACTGCACACGATGTCTTTAATGAACGTCAGTGATGGTTGTATGCCCTTTTAAGGGTCCTTTCAGTTTGTCTTAATAGAGTCAATTGCTTCTGGAATGCTGAGGAGCTTTCATGCATGATCTTGACACATGATTTTATAGCATTATGATAAAACTTTATTCTACTGGGGCGCCTGGGTGGCTCAGATGGTTAAACGTCTGCCTTCGGCTCAGGTCATGATCCCAGGGTCCTGAGATCGAGCCCTGCATCGGGCTCCTGGCTCAGCAGGGAGCCTGTTTCTGCCTCTCCCCCTGCTCATACTCTCTCTTTCTGTATCTCTCTGTCTCAAATGAATAAATAAAATCTTAAAAAAAACCTTAATTCTATTGATATATAATCTTGAATCTTAATTTATAGTACCAAAACTACAAAGACAAATTAAGCACAAATCAGCTGGGTAGAAATAAAAAATCCATTTTAAGAGCAGAAAGTACTTATTTTATAATTACATGCCATCCTTTATCTAAAGAACAATATCAAGACTTGCTACAGCCTGGGGCGCCTGGGTGGCTCTGTCGGTTACGGTTACGGTTACGGTTACGGTTACGGTTACGGTTACGGTTACGTGTCCAACTCTTGATTTCAGCTGAGGTCATGACCTAGGGGTCCTGAAATCTAGCCCCACCTCAGGCTCTGTGCTCATCGGGGGGGTGTGCTTGAAGATTCTCTTTCTCTCCCTCTGCCCCTCCCTCCACTCACGATAAATAAACAAATAAATAAATAAATAAATCCTTAAAAAACAAAAAGACTTGCTACAACCCCATATTGCTTAGATTTTGCTTTATCCTCAGAACAGATGTATATCTTTTCATCACTCACTGATGGGTGAATTTTAGCCCTTAAGACAATTTTCTGTAAAATAGGCTGACTTTTTTTCTTTTATTTTTACAATATTCCTTAGAGCAGCACTTGATGAATGTTTATACTGTTGAGAACACTTGGCAAGAGAAAGACAGTCAGACCACAATACCCTCAACAGTTAGGGAAAAGAGAAAGAAAACCTGGTATTTTCACCATCCTCTCTGAAAATAAGTACCTTGACTTATGCTGATTACTATCTGATCAGCACTCAGGTCTGGCCCATGGCCCTCTCTCTGTGTGAGTAATTTTAAAGGCAGATTAAACATTCTAAAAATAAACTATTGGTAAATGAGGCTATCTGATGTTTCCTTTATGAAAGCCTCTTCTCATCTGTCTATCAGCTGGCCGTTATACTCCGACCCCAAATTGTTCTGCCTCTTACTGAGCAAAAACCTATTCCAGGGGTGAGG